CTCTCTCTCTCTCTCTCTCTCTCTCTCTCTCTCTCTCTCTCTCTCTCTCTCTCTCTCTCTCTCTCTCTCTCTCTCTCTCGCGTAGTCTTCTTGTTGCAGGTGCGCGGCGTCTTCTTCCACCTCGAGGTCCGCTACGGACTGCCTCCTCCGGCGGCACTTCAGCTATGGCCGATCGGCCCTGCACACATCGCGCGCATGGGACAGCGGGTACCTGCTCTGATACCAGTGCAGTCAGACTCGACTTCTTCACACTTGTCATGCATGCAAACAGCGAAACAGCAAACTGGCCACATGCGCCCACACAGTACTCAAAGATATCGTAACCAGGTAGGAGTTCCCTTCAAACTGGCTATGGCGACTGAGCGCCCACACAACTCACTGTTCGCACTCTGGATCACCCTGGATGTCCCACACGCAACACTCTACACGCAACACACACACACACACACGCTACTATAGCTATGGCAGCTATGGCTGCCACTATCCTATCGCTACACTACAGTTCACTGCCCTCTTCGTCTTCGGGCGCACTGCAGACCTCCTCGCACAAGCTGCTGAGGCAGCGCTTGCGCATGGCATCCGCAGGAATGAATGAATGGCTGGACGCAGCCTCTTGATTTATTCTTCTGTGCAGCGTTGGTCTGCCCTGTATCCCTTGGCCCATGATGTGCACAGTCCCAGACGGTACTTGCTTGACTGGACCGGACTGGGCTACCTGGGACTGCTGACTCTGCGTAGTGGACCTACACCACTTGCCCACTTGCCTCGGCCTAAACAGGGGCTGACTCCGAAAGGCCAGTTCCAGAAACGTCTACTTTGGCCTTTCGGTACTGTAGCAGCTACGACTTTGCCCTTTCAGGTAAGTAGCAGCTACGACCTTGACCCTTCAGACATCCTACAGCTATGACTTCGGAACTGTCTAGACTCCTACCCTACAGGTCTACAGTTCGATTCCCTTCTAAGCTGTGACCTACGACAATCTACCTACCACTGGCGTTTCGACAGGTTGCAGGTTCAAATCTACGGGTTGTCATCAATACTGTACACCAGTAAGATGGGGAACTAGGGATCGAGCCCTGGGATCTGCATTTGCTACTGCGAACTGGTGAATACCGTTTCAAATGTTTAATATCAATAAAAAAATCCACTAGCACGCCAGTTCATTGGTAGGTGCTTTTTCATGGCCACCACTGTATACTGCATCAGGCCGTCCCGTCCATGCACAGGGCGTCTCCGCAGACGACTGGATCTTGACTGGGGGTCTACCACTCATCGTAAATTCTAAGGGGGGGTGGGGTTACATTGCACACTGTCGGGTGGCAAGGGCGATTCTGCTTTGGGTTCTATGGCAGGGAAGATATGCAAAGATTTTTAGAGACGAAGAGACACCACTTCAGCTGAGACAGTCGGAAGAAAACTTTCGCCTACGTGGTTTTCAACTCAGATTCGCAGTACTCTGAGACTATGCTCGAAGAGTAAGCAACAAAAAACCGGGCAGGCGAAAGTTTCAATGGTTCTTGACAGCTTGGGGGCAGAGGAATCAGTTAGCAGCAGTTAGATCGCAGGGGCAGTTGTTGTTGGGTCCCTGGCTCCTGCATGCTCAGTTGTTGTTGGGTCCCTGGCTTCTGCTTGCTCAGTTGTTCTTGGGTCCCTGGCTCCTGCTNTCAGTTGTTGTTGGGTCCCTGGCTTCTGCTTGCTCAGTTGTTCTTGGGTCCCTGGCTCCTGCTTGTTCAGTTGTTGTTGGGTCCCTGGCTCCTGCTTGCTCAGTTGTTGTTGGGTCCCTGGCTCCTGCATGCTCTGAGCACTCGGTTTCAGTACAGTCCGCAGTAGGACGGACCTGAGCACTCTGTTGCAGTACAGTCCGCAGTAGGACGGCAGTAGGGTGGCTTGGTCTTGAGGCAGGAGTGTGGAATGGGGAGGGGGGTCTCTGCCGAGACAGTGTTATATCTGGGGCCGCCTCCGAGAAGTGACCAGGGGAAGGGGCTAACGGAGACAGTGGTATGCCGGAACGGGACTGGCCCCCGAGAAGTGACCAGTGGAACGGGACTGGCCCCGGTGGTAACAGATGCAGGAGCGAAGTCTAGCTCCGGTTCCGGTTTCAGGTTTTATCTTACTGTCTGGTTTGGGCTTTACATTTAGCGTAAGTAGGTAGGTAGGTAACAGGGTGGTTTTTCTATGCTTTCCTCCGCCTCCAGGAGGGGCAAGATTATTTGGGGTGACAAAAGGGGACTTCCTGCGCTACAGGCTAGGCTGGTGGAGTGAGAAAAGCTGGACTTGATCTGCCGGAAGGGGGTTAATTTTCTTTCTTTGGGTTTTCCTTTTTCCGGGATACTGTGAGGACCCGGCCTCAGAACTTTTGTTTTTTTTATGAGCAATCAAGTTCTTCTTTTCTCGAGAAAGACAGCAAAAAAAAGCACGAAAAGAGTGCATCTTCCTGCAGAAAATGGGGGCAGGTTCATCGGTTTGCTATAAATAGTAACGAGGGTATCTTGCCACCTTTCGTGGGCAGATGCACTCGTTTCGTTTTCGTTTCGTATGCCGTATGCCGTGCGGCGAGGCCCAAAATGAGATGTGTGAGGGATGCCGTTCGCGTCTGTCAACCCCCAGCAGCATGTGATCGAAAACGGCAAAGCACGAAGTACAATACCTCGCTAGTGGGTCCAGGCCCCTGGGTGTACCATCGGAGCATCCTAGAAAAAAAAAAAAAAAAAAAAAAAAAAAAAACAAAAAACAAAACAAAAAAACAAAAAAACTTCAGGGCACGCTCACACTGCGGTACCAAAACCGGATTATCCCCAAAATCCCGAAAAAATAATGTCAATATAAAATAGTCACACCAGGATCTCATTTCCCCAAACTACGTATTTGTGACCCCATTTGTCAGCCGCCTGAATGGCCGTGGGGGTTGGAATTTGCGGTAACCTCGGGAGGTTGGAATCAACCTGCGGAAATGGAAATAATGTTTTTTTTTTTTGTTTTTTTTTTTAATAAATAAAGTAAGCTACATTCTTCTCTCATCGAAATGGAAAGAAATTCGAAGACGAAGATATTGCCAGGAGATGTGATCTCGCAGTGCGACTGGAGCAGTCGAAGAGGACCCCGAAATCCAGGGGGCGGCAACCTTGGCTGTTGCGAAATGGGGAAGCAGTGTAACACAGGGAGGGGCCCAGCCACTATTTTCCCAAATCGGGCATCCCATGTTAAAAAAGAAAACGATCTCGGCCTCTGTTCATGTCCTTTTGATACCAAACAAAGTAAAACCGAAAAAAAAAAAAAAAAAAAAAAAAAAAAAAAAAAAAAAAAAAAAAAAAAAAAAAAAAAAAAAAAAAAAAAAAAAAACGATCTTGGGTACGGAGTGTGAGTGTGCCCTGAGCTAGAATCGTTAGTATTGCAGGGGCTTGCCGCTACGCTCGCCAAATGCCAAGATTTTGAATGTATTGGGTCCAGAACTACGCTTCGGAACATTCAGAATGTTGGCAGGCATCTGCGAGGTCCATCCTCTGTTCTTCGTTTCCTTTGTTTTTTTGCCTTTTTTTTTTTTTTGACATCCTTTTTCTTTTTCTTTTTTTTTTCAGTGAATCCTTCTATTTATTTTCATCCTTTTAATATTTTCTTTTCTTTTTTTTCTTTTTTTTTGTCAGTGAATGAATCCTTTTTTTTTGTTGTTGTATGTCAGAGTATGGGCCTCGCTCCACTACACGCAACACTCTACATGTCTCTGCCATTTACATACAACATTATTACTACGCGTTCTTTTCTGCGGCATAGCTATCAGAATAGAGCTCGTATATTCGCATTGATTCCTTTTTTTTTTTTTTTTTTTTTTACAGAATAGAGCTTGTATATTTGCATACACCATTAATAGACCACATAGTAATTTGCCCTTTTTTTCCTTTTTTTTCCCTTCTTTTCACGTAATTAACCCCTTGCTTTCTTTTCTGCAGCATAGCTATCAGAATAGAGCTCGAATATTAGCATTGATTCCTTTCTTTTGCATTTTTTTCTTTTTTTCCAGAATACAGCTCGTGTATTTCTATACACCATTAATAGATGACATAGTAATTTTCCCTTCTCTTTTCTTTTTTTCTTTTTTTTTCCAAGTAATTGACCCCTTGCGTTCTTCTCTGTGGCATCGCTTTCATAATAGAGCTCGTATATTAGCATTCATTCCTTTTCTGAAACTAAAAAAATGTTTAAAGTTCAAAGTTTTACTTTTACTGTCATTTTACATACAATAGTAATAGAGCACAGTATAAGTAATTTGCCTTTTTTTTTTTTTTTTTTTTTCAGGTAGTTGACCCTTTGTTGCGTTCTTTTGTGCCGCAGACTGAAATGAACAAGAACGACTTGGAGGCTGTGACGATGACGGCCACTTCGGACCGTCAGTATTTGGCCTTGACAGTGCCGGATCTGATGGAGCGCCGCCCTTCGGTTTGTGTTGCCGACATAGTAGAAGTCACGTACAGTGACACTGAACCACAAGCTGAATCGGGAATGGCGGTCCCTAATGGGGTCCCTAATGGGGTACGCAATGGGGTCCGTGCCGCAGTCGTCAAATATCACGTGAGTGCAATTGTGTGTGGCTATACCCCATCTGTCCCTGTGGTTAAAGAATTGAATGCTTCTTGCGTTGCTTGTTCTCAGATGCTTGCTTTCTACGGGGCAAGATACAGTTTGCAATTGCACGTCGGCCAGCCTAACCTGGCCAGAAAGCTGGGTTGTATGCATTGCTCGAACTGCACTTCAAAACTGCATCTTGGCCCGTAGTGCAATTGTAACTCATTTTTGTGACTCCGGTGTAGTTTCAACCTCATTTTTTTGGTCCGGAATCCTCAGGGCATACTCACACACTACGACTTTTTTCTATTTAGATCTGGATGGGATTGCTGTCAGACGGTCAGATTCATCCAGGTCTGGCCGTGATTGCAGTCAGATACATTTAGAAAAGTGCTGGTGTGAGTATGGCCTTAGGCCCTTAGCCAATTTGTTTTCTTTTTTTTTTTTTTCTCCCCCTCCTCCCCTTTTTCTTCTTTTTTCTTTCATACTTGGCATGAGAGTAAGAGCACCCTGCGTCTGGCTATGGGCTTAGGTTCACCAGTTGCCATCATGTTGAATGCATCTGGACATGACACTCGCGCAGATGCACATTCCAAATCTTGGCCGATGGCGAGTGGGGCAACTAATCCCTATATATATTCGTTGGAGGGGAAGATTTAAAAAAAAAAAAAAAAAAAACGATCACTGCTCATCCCTTGTTTTTCTTCTCTTGGGAAAACTCGGGCGCTTTCACGGTTTCAGTTTGAAAATGCGTTTAAGTCACTATTTGGACAAATGTTGTGTCCAACGGAAGAAAATCGTGAATGTATACAACCTGGCTTGAGGACAGGGTGGGGATTTGTTGTATTCCAGGGATGCCTGAACTGGGTTTTAAACTGATATCCTGACTGCGCCCTAGTTTTTTCCTTTCTTTCCCCTTGCTCTCCCTTGTTGTACAGATAATGGTTGGTTCACTTTTCAGGGCCACACACACCCACACACACCCACACCCACATAGAATCCCACACCCACACCCAGCCACACACACACACACACACATACACACACATACCCACACACACACATCCACACACAACCCGCAGACACAACACACACACACACACACACACACACACACATACACA